GAGACACAAAGAGACACAAAATGGATCTATGCCTAGAAAAACGTCATGGCTGTCGATGACACAGTTGAAATGTCCAATTTGTTTGATTAATATATCAGCGATATCGCGTGATCTTCGTGCGAGATCGGTTCGCCGTGCGAATAGCGAGCTCGTATCTGCTTGTAGTGAAAATTATCTGATCCACGCGGTGGAGTAACAACGGGGGCGCGACAGGCCGGACACGTGCCTGGTATACGATTTTCAAAGGGCAGCCCGGGCATGGGGTAGCATATATTCATACGTATCGCGATAATAATGTATCGTTATCGCCGCCTTCGTTAACCAACTCGCGCGCCATCGGCAGCGGCGCGGCGGCGGTGGCGGCGGCGGCAGTGGCGACAAAATCAATGCTTTGATTTAATAGAATTCCGTTTCGTTATATCCTGCACATTGCATAAAATTCGCGACTTGTATAGACGCACACGTGCAAGTGACGAAAATTTCCACACTGCGAAAAATCGACGTGTCCTTCGCTATACGTCGATGCGAAAAAAATAATGAAGTTAAATATAGATGTTTACTAAAAGAGAAGGAAGAGAAAGAAGACAAAAAAAAAGAATAGACTGCCATCATGATTTAATTTGTTTAATTAAAAGTTTAATTTGTTGACTCTAAGTTATATTAAAACGAGAGTACTCTATCAAAAACAGAATTTAATTATCTTATTTGAATTTAACGATACGAAAGTATATAAAAGTTAAAGCTAATCTATATTGTAGAAATGGAAAACAGAATTTAATTATCTTATTTGAATTTAACGATACGAAAGTATATAAAAGTTAAAGTTAATATATATTGTAGAAATGGACGTAAGCTCACTATTTAATTGATTATTAAACAATATATTGATTATTTATATTAGCCAATTAGGCTAATATAAATTATCTTTTTATCTCTCTATTCAAACTTCTATAAACCTCTGTAAATAAAAAGTTGTAAAATTGAAAGTGTCCTAAAATTTATTTTAATATTAAAATAGATTTGTGTAATGATTATGTTAAAACTTGATTCCACGGGATTGTTTAAACGGTCGCGCAAACTACTTTTACATATATATACTTCAGACACTCCTAACGACGGTCATCGCCGTTGTTCCGCTTCCTATGACCGTCATGAATAATGTCGTACCTCTTCGTTCATGCGTAAAGTTTCCGAACGTCGGACGAGAAGCGGTGTCAATCGTGCGAGAAACATCAATGCATTGTACGATTGATCGTGATCTGCGCGATCCGAAGTGCATTGTCATGTAAAAGTCCGATAGTTTTATTCTTCTGCAAACAACAACACGTCCGAGCTGCACAAGCGAAACGCTTCCAAACAGAAGAGAACTTTGTTCTAAATTCTTTTTTTTTATACAATTCGTTTTGTATAACTATCGACTTTGTAATTACGTTTCTCTCTGATATTGAGACTTTCCTTAATCTGGACTCTGTTTACAATTTATGTTACAATATTGCAATTATATTTATATTACAATATCTGTAATTGCACTACTTTTATACGAGGAAAAATGCTTCATAGAATATTTCGCCTAACTTGCTCATATTTATAACTTTGTTTGTCGTTAAAAAAATTAATATTATATGTCTTGAATCAAAGAAATTGTTTCTGAAGCAGTGTGTTTTGTACATTTAATGATGATATTTCAATTATTTTATCTTTCGAATATTTTTATTTTTTGGCATCGAATAGGCGTACAAAGAAATCCCTCCAGCCGTTCTAGGTTAAATACTAAACATTTTTTTTGTGAAAATATATCCGTGAAACTTTGTATCTCCAAACTCGGATGCGGTATATGCCGCGAAAAATATATTGTCCTCGACGATGTCTTCACCAACGGTAACCGCTTATCACGTACGAGGTCCACGTACAACCGCGAGGACGAGTCTATCGGCGTTTAGCCGGCTTTCGTGAATGTAAACTAGGCGTTTCCTGCACGTATCGTACAAAGTGCTCGATTCGCTGGTCTTTTTTCACCCAGGCCGATCGATAATGCCATTGCAAACACCCTGTATGTGCTCGGTTAATGTTAATGGCAGGGGCCGGCTCGGTCGAACGGGGTGGGTTGCCCCTTTGCCCGTGAGTTAGAGCTTCCTGAGGCTTTCCTCGCATCCACCGCTCTACCCCGTCCCATCCCGCTCAAGTCCTGCTTGGCTAATGGTAAGGGCAGGAAATATCAAAAGTCGTCTCCACGATCGTTCTTTTTACTATATTTCTCGCTTTCTCTCTTTTTCTGTTTTTCTCTCTTTGAATACAGCTATAGCCTCTTTGAATACAGCTATATACCTTCGTATATGACTTTCGTAAGATAGAGGATGTAATTTTAAAATGGTAAATACAAACTTTTAAGTCGAGAAACTGAGGCAATAATTGTATCGTTAAAATTTATCTTGTTATAGTAGCCGAGAGAAAAAAGCTGTTTTCTTATCATATAATAGTGTATCTTGTGCGAATTAAATATAGACAATGATTAGATTGATAAGTTTATTATAAGTGAGAGAAAATTTGCAATTCTAATCAAATGTGAATCTTGTAAATTTAAGTTAAAAGTAATATAAACACACACACACACATATGTTATATAAATGTAAAAGAAACTTAACTTTAATTTATACTTAAGTTTAATTATCTTTTTTTGAGATAGTTTCTGTATATGCAAAACAGAAGATTATTATGACAATAAATTAGAGATGAAAAAGAAAGGGAGAAAGTGAGAGATAAAAAAGGAAGAGAAAAAGAGATACTAAAAGTATAATTTACATTCAATTTAAATAATAATAAAGAAAGAAATTTATGTTTTTTAGAATACGTTTTTTGAACTTAACATTAATCGATAATCTATTGTCGATTCTTTACGTTTAAAGTGATTTCTTATATATGTATAGAAAATATTTGGTGAATTTGCAATAATTTACATTCTGCATGGCTACTGTACGCAATATATCGAATGTTGCGGAAACAGAACGGAAAGCAATGCTCTGCGAAGTAAAACCTTAATATCGCGAACTCCTCCCGGGAAGGTCGCAAGGGGGTTAACACGCTTATCGTGCGCAAAACGTGATCGTCGAAATGATAAAAGAAAAAATGAATCTGACTCAGGAGAGCAAATGTAATCACTGTTTGTCACGAACAGCAACGCATTCAACAGGTTAAAGCAACACATTAAAAAGAACGCGAATTTATTCGCATGCTTAAAAATCTCTTTCGTCTCTCGTGAATTCGGTCACGATATTTCACTGGGATGAACGGTACCAGATACCAGCGTATAAAATAGTAACACGTTAATCTTCTTCTCGCGTGTATGTGAAAATAAATTACTCTAGAAACGCTACAGATTTACTCGACAACGGTTTTCTGACATTACGTGAGTAATTTAGTCTTTTCTTCCTTGAAGGCGGCATTTATTAAGGATTCTCAGAGAGACACTCAACGACACTTATTGACAACGACACTTTGAGTGTAAAAGTGATTTTTTTTAGAATAGAGAATCTTGTCTATACAGTAAATTTCTTTTTATATAATCAGAAATTTTAATAGTTTCTATTGAAATCTATTATAGAAACATAATACTGGAAAAAGTAATTAAAATAAAGTTTTTGTTTTCTTTAATAAATAAATATAACAACCGATATATGAATAACATGGGATAAATAATCAAAATATTGATATTTTTGGTCATCAGGCGCGATCTTATGCCTAAAAATAATACTTATGCATTTTATATAACATTCTGTCTTTATGTTATCAAATCATTTTCCTTTTTTTCTCTTATTAAAAAAAATGCTTCCACAAATTCTATAATAAATTTGTAGATGAAAAATGTGCAATAAATTTGAAACTTCGGCAGGTTTGTGTAGAACGCGTGAATTACAACCATTTGGCCACTCGTTAAGGTCATTCTTCAAGAGTTCTCAACTCGGAGTGGCTGTCGCTTGCACCTTTGATATAAAAGGCGTGCAATTAGAAGCGACGTGCACACGAGACGGGCCGCAGCGGTGAAAAGGCGCGCACAATCGCGGCACGCTTCGTACGTAAATTCGACCCGAGGGATTCGCCGATATATCGCCTGATTTAATTTGTTGCAATTAGGGCCAAGGGTCGCTCGAGCGTACCATCGATGCGGGATAGAGGAGCGGGGAAACGGGGAGAGAAAGAGAGAGAGATATAGAGGAAGCGCAGTCTCCACCCGTGGCTCACCGCGCCCTGCTATTAATATCAGTTAACGACACGATATGATCACTCGTCTATACCCAGACAGCCCGGCTGCCAGCGGTGGCCGTTTGAGCCGAGTCATGACTCGAACCATGTCGACGCGCAGATGATAGCTTCGACCGTGATTCCAGCTCATCGATCGCGAGCTGACTCACCGGGACGCGCGGCTTCACCTCGACTCATAATTTCGCGAATCCTAACACGCAGTTAGGTAATCCCATCGCAACTCTCAAGTAATTTGCATTAACGCTAACTATTCTCATGAATTCAGCGCCAAACGTCAGACACTGCGCAGAATGAAAGAAGATAATTCAAAATAAAGGATATGTAATCGGAAACGGTATTTGTAAAATAATATTCTATAACATAAGACAGAGCCAAAAGCTTATACGTTTTTTTCAGCGGTATTACGCCATACGTTTAAGATATTTTTCGAATTCTTACAATCACGGTCGCAGATGTGCCAACAATAGCAAGAAAACGTCATATAAGGCCGTTATGGCAGTGGCATACGTACCGATAGCAATGGGCGATACGGAGCGGGTTCTATCTAGCAGACATCCGGCCAGCATCGAAACAAGCCGACCGCGCGCGGATTACCATAAGCATTTATATATGCGCCAGCGCATTATACTTGCATACCCGTCGGGGCGAAGGTGCCCCGTTGTCGACGACGGTAGCGCCTCGTATTAGGCGCGGGTACCGCACAGGGGGATGCGTGTAGGTGCCCATCAGGCCTGGCTACTTACTTACGTGTACCAGCCGGCCTCACGAGCCGCCGACACGCGAGCCTGATTGACTTGTAGATGAGGCGACACAGTCGATATACTCCGGACTCTATATCGTCCGGCCTCTGGAAACGGTTCGCCCTCCCGCCCCCCCCTTTCCTTGCCGCTACCTACCATCATCGCCGCCACCCCATAGTCCCATGGTTCGCCAGCAGGGATTCCCATGATCCGACCATAGTTGCGTCGAGTTCCCTCGCCCTCCCCCCCGCGTTGCCTTCCATCCCTCGTCTCCGACGCGCTCCTCTCGCTCATCGTTCTCTCGCTCATCATTCTCTCGCTTTATCTGGCTCTCTCTTTCTCTCTCTATTTTTCACCCTTTTTATCCGCTCTCCTCGCCCTCTTTCCCAGCCACCGACCGTTATCTAGTTAATTAATCTCCGCCGACGACGGTAGTCGACTAGCGGGGCGGTAAAACTCCCACCGTCGCTGCCGCGCCGTAACGAGCCGCGGCGACGAAAGTGTTGAGCGGCCACAACCACCCCCCTGGTCTCCGGCACTCCGTTCCCTGGCGTGGCGTTACCTTCCTTTCGTCGAGAAATTTTAATTACGGTGAAAGAAAAACGGACAGGCCTCGTTAGAGCCCGGACGAGCGTAGAAAGTTAGCGAGATATTCGAGGGAGTTCGGAGATTCGCTGCACGATGGAAAAGGTACCAACCGATTAGTTCGGTGAAGTATGTGGTCTTGAAATTTTGATGAAATCCGCGTAATTTAATTATTAAACGGACCTCTACATAAGTAAAATAAGTTAACCAAACACTCGATCTTATAATTATATATATATTTTTTCATATCTTTTTATCTATTTTTTTGCATATCTTCGAAACTCATATAAGATAATTAGTATATATTATTAGTAATAATGATAATAAAGTAACTGATTCTTTTAAATTTGAATAGGTCTAAAATAAATAAAAATTTAAAAAACTCTTGTCTTATTAATTTTAAATGGATTTTGCTTTAGTGAAAAATTAAATTTAGCGGTCAGTTTTTTCAAGACATTTGATGATATAATAAAACAATAATTTTGCACCAAAGCGTCCATTCTTTTAAAAGGATTACTTCCGAGTAGTTTGTAATTCAAAATTTACATTCTTATTATTAGTTTTTGACATTTTATGTTTAAAAAAGTTTTAAATACAGTTATGTATATTACATTATTATTTTTGTAAATAAATATTAATTAATGTCGAGAACGTAATGTTATGTAATCTGCAATCTTTTCGTTACTCTTCAACTTCGCGGTATTTTTGTAGTATTCGCACTCCAATATTCCTTCCGTTGGTTGTTGCTTTGAGTATCATCATATTGAAAACATATCAGTAGAGCTGTAATGACTGGATAAGGGTAAAATCAAACTGACTGTGTATAGACCAACCCTAGGGCAGTTACCAGCGGTATTCCATTACCGGTATTCCATTATCGTGGGGTAGAAATTTATCGATCTCAACAATAGTTGGTCTACCGATCGGATAGTCAGAACTTGACGCGAATTCACAGATAGTTTAAACGACTAAGTTTTCTAACAATCTCAATTCTCTGAATTCTTCGAATTAGGACAAAATGTAAAATAATAATTTACTAATTAAATAATTAACAAGCTCTTCAAGTAAGATTTGATAAAATATCACGCATGTCATCAGTCATTTAATAAAATGTCTGATTTAAGCCTGAGACCTTCTACTGTGCGCTCTAATTTTACCCAAACAACTAGTTTATAATTTATATGATATTTGTATTAAATTTTTATTGTAATGTGCATGCTATTAGATGCGACAATCTCGCGTCTAATAGCAGTTACCTCCACCAGTATCTTACCTTTTAGGACGAGAATATCGATTTTGCGAGGGTACCCCCAAGCCTCGACGTCGTTCGCACAGATGTCCGCGAGCGTCGTCGCTGCGGTTGGCGTCGCCGCCGCCTCCGCCGCCGTCGACGTCGACGCTAGGCGTCACGACGGCGTCGGCAGCGGCGGTGGTGGCGCACACGCTGCTCCCCCTGATGCGGGGTGGGCGAGAGTATTGATTGGTCGCCGTGGTCGCCGTCGTCGTAGGCGCCGTGCAAAAGGGTGGCGGAATCGCCAGGCGCCATCACGCGGGCCCGCCGCGACCGTGTCGTCGAGAAGGGCGTCCAGCCAGCGTCCGGCCGCGGTCTCGACTCGCCGAAAAGATGGTCATGATGGCTGGCATGGACGACCATGAGCGCAAAGTCGTCCTCGAGTTCTGCCACCTGCTCGAGAAGAGCAAGCAGCTGTTCAACGGGCTGCGCGACCTGCCGCAATACGGGCACAAGCAGTGGCAGGGTTACTTCGGGCGGACCTTCGACGTCTACACGAAGCTCTGGAAGTTCCAGCAACAGCACAGGTGAGTGATAAAGATAAGGGGAACGAGAGAGATGGAGAGTGAGAGAAAGAGAGGGAGCGTGCGCGCGTGCATACATCTGCTTGTGATACACAGGAAAGCGAGGGAAATATATGACTGTAGCGAGTTTTCTCTTTTGGAGCACACTTGATAGCAACTTCTCGAGTTACTTCACCAAGAGATAAATGTTTCCTAATAAATCGCTGATAGGAGGCGAAAAATGTCTGCCAAGTATCTGCAGTGGAAAAATCATATAAATTCGATTTCGTAAATTTGCATGCGTGTGATTCAGCGACTTCCGTAGATTTCTTTTTTTTTTTTTCATGACCTCCATGCCCGTTCTCTCTCAATCAAGTAGAAACAGGCATGTTCGGTACGACAGTGGTGGCGCTCGGCGTGGCATGCCGCAAGATTATGACCATCGTAGAAAATATCGCACGTTGCCGTTCTTGGCGTTTTGATGTGAAGTACGATATATTTTAGCACGCGAACTTTCGCGATACTCGCGATCGCGTTTCACGACGGCCGATCTGATGACGATGACGAGACAATGGTCTGCGTGGCGAGATCCACGTGACCGAATCCTCGTGTGTTGCGCTTTAGACTTTGAATATGTTCGCCAATACCAGTCCCACGCGATTTCGCTTTAGAATGATCGAATAAATCTCATTTCCGTTTACATAGACTGGCTGATATTCTTACAATGGAACAACTTCCGCACATCATGCTGAAGTGTTACATATTGGCGGAAAAAGTTTCACTTGTGTTTCTCGCTTCTGTCGTCGCTTCATTACATGCTAATTACGTTATCGTATAATACACGTACATAATAAGCGAGTCTCCAATAAACTGAAGAGCAGACAAAGAAAGTTTTTTATTCTCTTTGTTGTTAAGGAAAACTCCATTAACGTTTTTAATTGCAAATATTTCGATTTTTGCACATGTCTGTGTATGTGTGTGTGTGTGCGTGTGTATACCGCAATTAAAATGTTTATTTTTTATTGTTAGGTATATTAAAGTAAACTAATATATATAAATTAACGTTAAAATAATTGTATCTTTTAAAACGACTAATCTTTTAAATAATATAAATTTATTATAATATTTAAGAATTATTCTTGGTAAATAAATATGGTTGAGACGTTTAAAATTATTAACTTTATTTTGTCATAGAGCATTTATATATTTTGCAAATATTGATATTCTTTCGAGAAAAATATATTCTTATCTCTTGTAATGACTAATCTGAATCTAGAAATATTTTGCTGCATACGTGTTCAAACGGAAATACATGTTTTTCAGAAATGATAAAAAAAATTTATTCAAAATTAAAACCCTCTTTTATTTTAATAAGTCGGATATAATGAACATGGAAAAATGTAAAAGGAAGTCAATTTTTAGATTTATTAGTAATTTGACAATTAAAAAAATTAAAATAGCATGCATTGAGCGTGTGTGAACACGTGCGCGCTCACGTGTAACAGCCTCGCTCTGTTTTCAGAACGATCCTGGACACGAAGTATGGCCTCAAGAGGTGGCAGATCGGCGAGATCGCCAGCAAGATCGGCCAGCTCTACTACCACTACTATCTTCGTACCAGCGAGACGAGCTACCTGCACGAGGCCTACTCGTTCTACGCGGCGATACGCGGTCGCGCCTATTACAGCCGCGCAGCTAAGGAGGACAGGAGCGATCTGATGGTGAAGAAGCTCAGGTACTACGCCCGCTTCATCGTCGTCTGCCTCCTGCTGAACCGTATGAAGCTCGTGCGGGAGCTCGTGCAGGAGCTCGACGCTCAGATAGCCGATTACACCAGCACCTACGAGCCGGACGATCAGCTCGAGTGGAACCTCGTCCTCGACGAGATCAAGGCCTTCGTCAAGGCCGAGTCCGCGGTCGGTGTCCTGCACTCGGACTCGAACCCCATCGTGCTGACCCACAGGCTCGGTCCGCAGACCTGCCCGCCCGTCGAACGATCGCCACCCATGTGCCTATCTCTCCAAGAGATCCTAATAGTCGGCAATTGCGCCGATCAGGTGAAGTTCAGTGAGTTGTCGATGGACATGTTTAGGATGCTGCAGACGCTCGAGCGGGAGCCCAGAGACGACCCGAATCACCTGCACGACGCCTCGCCGGCCGGCCGGATGCCCTTCAGACCCGGGCCCTACCCCGGGCCGGAGAACGGCGCGCCGAGACGCGACAATCCGCACAAGTACCTGCTGTACAAGCCGACCTACAGCCAGGTGCAAGTGTTCCTCGCGAGTGGCTTCAAGGAGCTACCGGCGAACGGCGCGTTACTGCTGTACCTGTCGGCGGACGGCTGCTTCTCCACCGTCAAGCACCCCGAAGAAAGTGAGTGTTCAATCGAATTTTCACGTATACGTTCCTTATTGTTCGTTCTATCGCTGTGCTGCCGCAAGTTTATAGGCGTTAGACGTAAACCCTCTTATTTTAAACGAAAGATCTGCTGAAAATAGATCTTGAAGAAAGGGTGACATGCATCTTCCATAAATCGTGCATCTAATTTACCGCTCGATCGATGGAGCTGCTAGTTTTAACAAGCTACATTACTGATAAATTATCTCTGTACTTAGAAAAGTTAGAAATTTAGTGGAAATGCTTGATGCAAATAGACGTTTAAATAGCTTTTATTCGCTTCACTATCGAGGGTGACCTATCAATCATGGGTCAATTAATAATGTGCCACAAATATCACGCGGGAAAACGATATTTTTAGAAAATAAAAATAACTGATGGAACATAACGATAATCTTGATCGAAAAAGATTAAACTAAATTATTAGAAAT